ATAATCCAAATTAATAACGAACATTGACAAATAAATAAGAAGAATAAGAAATTTTTTGAACAATTCTTGCTTTTCCATTTAAATAAATTCCATTCTCGTTATAAGAGAAAAAATATATTCGAATGGGTGTGTTATTAGTAAAAACAATCATATATATTTAATAAATTATGATTTTATTCGAGTCTATTTTTGATAAATTTGAGTCTATTCTTGTCTATAGCGGCAGGTACAATCAGTAAAAAATAAGTAAGTTAAAAACTACCAGAATATGTTCAAATTTACAGTATTTCTGGCTCTATGGTTACACCAAAGAGGCAGAAAAGTTTTACCAAACGCTTTGGAAAAGACTTTGGTAAAATTGACAATAAAATATGGTTTTAAAATATATGATAAAATTTGGTAAATGTAGTGATAAGTTCTAATTTTATCATGATACCTTAGAGCATGTCATAAAAACCACTTATTCGTTTAAAATTACTTTTCAGTTTTTTATTTTTTACAAAGCTTGCGCACGTAGAAAAAAAATTTCTGGTAAGATTACCATAATGTATGCTAATAACATTTCTGGTTAAAAAAAAACTAATTCTGGTAATAAAGACCAAAATATACGGTATTTAAGCCATTCACTTGGTAATTTTCCGTCCACGCAGTAATTGTTTATAGGAAATTCTATAACAATGGTTTACTAGAAATTCCGGTATTCAAAATTATAATTCTTATTACCATACAAAACTCAAAAGTTAATTTTACCGAATAAATAGTTATTACTCTGTGCTGTAAGGTATCGCGATAAAATTACCAAATTTAATCAAATATTATAAAACCATACTTTATTGATATTTTTACCAAAATCTTTACCAAAGCGTTTTGGTTAAAATTACATAAAGCTAGTTCCCATGAAGCTAGAAACATGGTAAGTTTAACCATATTCGCTTTTTATTCGTTTATGCTTTAACCAGACATTTTTTTTAGTGTGGTAATAGGAGCTAAAATTTTGAAAACTAGAATTTCTGGCAAATCTTTACCATATGAACAGAAAACTACCTATTTAATGAAAAACTACCTATTTAGTGATTTAAATACTGTATATTTTGGTTTTATAAACTATAATTATGTTATTTTACCAGAAAGGTCACTATCATCTTTACCATTTTGTTTCACTCTATCTAAACTGCATTGTGCATAGTAGCGCTCAACAAATAAAATATAAAGACCAATTATAAATCGAAAAAGGAAGTTTCGGACTCTTCAAACAAGAATTCCAATTACCATTCTTCAGAAAGAGAAAAAAATGACATTCCTTCTTTATCACATGAATTCACACAATATCTAGAACTCATTAAAACAGTATTAATAAAGGATAGGTTTGTGCAATAACCATCAGGCAAAGAATATTACTAAAGTCAGCAATCGACTATCATTAGTGATCTTGGGTAAATGAATAACATTTTCAAAGAAGTTTTGTTTGAATTTAACGTAACGTAAAATATGCAGCTTTTGCTAACTGTGAAAGCGTCCTAATTAAACTTTGTATGAAAGTTTAAATTAGGATATAATAATACAAATTCAATGCAAGAGAATTGCACTTTTTATACAAAGATGTATACCGTTAGCTCGACTCATTTCTTCTTAATTATACTAATAGTTTTTATAAAATATATTTTAAGGCTGAAATATTTTGTAAGAAATAACGATTTGAAATAGATATTCCATAGCAGTTTATTGTCATGCGTGAAGTCATTTGATTGTTATCGATTACAAAGTCAATTTTTCAAATCTCTCACTCAATTAAATAATAGTCAGGAAATCAATTGGTTCACGCATCATTTCTGATAATTTTATCAGCTTTTAAATCACTTATTCACTCACTGAAGATTAACTGATGTTCTTTAAGAGTAAACTAAGTATGATCAGACAGCCAATATTTTATTCAGGTTCAATTTTGCACTGATTTTTGAGAGTGTGTCTTAAGTACGATCTGAAAACCATAACCTTCTTCTGGTTCAATTTTGAACCGATGTTTCTGAGCTGTCACGATCGGACAGCTAAAATTTTATTTTGGTTCAGTCTTGCACTGATTTTTCTGAGAATGTCTTCAATACGATCTGAATGTCGAAACTTCATTCTGATCCAATTTAGAACTAATTTCTATGATATTGTCTTAGATACGATTTGAAAGTCAAGCCTTTTTTCTAGTTTAATCTACCACCGTTTTTTATGAGAGTGTCCTAAGTACAAACTGAAGGCAAAACTTCATGATGTTTAGACCTTGCAGTGATTTTTCTGAGAATGTACTAAGCGAAAAAAACTTCTTCCTTGTTCTAAGTAAATAAAGTTTTAAAAGCTTAAAATTCCAGGTCAAAGAAAATTTTTATTTCTAATCAGGTTGATTTCCCCCTATTTTTGGTACCTAGTTTCTGAAATCAGATTTGTAGGCTCTTTTATGGGTGAGACAAATGCTTGAATATCCTTAGAAATTTTGCCCAACGAAGTGTAATAGTGCTTAAGACAAGTTTACCCTCCAAAAAAGATAACTGCTTTTATAATTGCTAACTCAATGATAAAAAAAAACTCTCAGCTGTTGGTAATAGTTGAATCATTACTTTCACGATCAGCCTTTATTTATAGATGTGTCTCATTAACAATATGCTCTTCTGAGAATATTTCTTTAAATACGCTTTTAAAAAAATCCCATTAAATTTACGGATTTAAACTGGCAACTGTTACTTTTAAATTGGATTGATTGTGCTAAACCTTAAAATTTACGAAGTAAATCCGTAGTCTCAAAAACGTTTTACTATACAAGAACAAATTTTTTCTCTGAAAATTAGGAAGAGGATACATAATATAACTTTTTTTCCCTTTTTTTTACCGTAAAAGATTAAGTTAATTAAAAAAAATTAAATCTGTTGTTTCAACACACTTTTACCATGTGAGAACAAGTATTCTCCTTGAAAGTCACGAAAGAAATCTGTACTCACACAAGAATACGTCGGCAGAATGTGTATCGATTACTCATCGCTGGGATTCGTACCTAGGGCACTTCATTGAGAAGTACGAACCCTGTCCCCAGCGGCACTGTGACTCAAGTGTTTTAAACTTAATTCATTATGAAAGTGAGAATTTCACTTTAATATTGTATCTATTTGACAAACTTGAATCGTCTAACTTATTGGATATTCAAAATCATACAATAATTGCAAAAAAAAAGAAGAGCACGTGTAGAAAATAATCGTAAAATACTTTGAGGAAAGGTAAAATTCTATTATGGAACTTGAAACAACATGGCAAACACTAGACTATGAGCTGACGGTTTTATTCGGTTTGTGATTAGGGTTGAAAATTAAGAAAAACCGTTTTGCAAACAGAACAGTTTCAAACCGTTAAATTTAAGGAAAATTCCGAAATAAATGGCAAATAATTTTTACAGTGTATCAACTAAATACTACCTATTATAATTGTAAAAAATTTAAGATTAAAAACTAGTCATATCATTATAAACTTTAAAGTATAGTTTTGTGTATCACAAAAAGAACTATAATAATAATAATAATACTTCAATGGAATTAAAAATGAAATTTAATGCAACTTATTCAAAATTTTTTTGTTTGTAATACATAAATAGTTATTTTATCGAAACGAACTGAAGAGTTCTTCATTCGAACTGAAGAGTTCTGAAGATGCAGAATATAGTTGATGTGAAAGTAAATGCGTTCTTTCACTGCAAACAAAAATCTTTAATGTCAAATAACATTTCAAAGGAAACGATCTATTGCATATTCTTTTAAAAGTGACGGAGGTTGAGGCGAGGGGAGAAAAAGTCTCTTAAAAGTATATACCGGAAAAACATTTTCTATTAAAACACTTTTCAGAGACGTTTTTACAAAGATAAGATAGGAACGGTAAGAGCTTTAAGTCTTGGACAAATTTATCGTCCATTTTCCTTTCCTTTTCTACCCTCAAATAGATAAGAAATAGAATCTTTGAGTAATAATGTTGTGAAATATGTCTTTTTTTTAGAGCATTGATATTACCTTTCATAAATATTTCTAAGATAAAGAAATAACTTAGCTTTTTCATTAATTTTTTTTTATTATTTTTTTACACTCAAATTTAAACAACATTATGCAATTGAAGGGATTCTAAACTAAACAAAACGAAAAAAACGAGGACTGCATTAGTTTGTATGAATATAGATTTAATTAAATGTATCTATTTTTATTACTAGACGAGTTGTTCTTAAGATGACCGAAGATTTAAAAACTAATTAAAGAAAATTAGGAAAAAGACAGAAATGTGGGATTTGTTGCCTACTATTTGAGGAAACATGAGTATTTTTTCGGAACATGTTTCAAAATTAACTGCAAAGCGTGTCAATAGATGGTGCTAGTATAGAAAATGCATTGATTAACTTTGAAAAATGTACTATTTATAAGTTATTGAATCAATTTGAGAACAATATATTTAAAATAACCACCACGTGATGTGTACTCCAAGGATAAAGTTAAAATACATTCTTATAAATATTTCAATTAGCTAATTCTGATTACGCCGTAAATACTATTGTTGTGTAGTCAACTGCGCCCTCTTTTGATAATCTCTGTAAATGATTTTAAACCTGATGTGAATAAATTTCTGGTTTCCACCACATCAAACAATGCACTCTGACCTCCTTTTATTTTTCCTTAATGATATGTCTCGTATATATTTAAAAGCATCTGGAGTTAGAGAACCTTAAACGGCATTAAGAATTCTAAATTAAACGCAGATTAGAGGGGAAGGATTCATCTTTAGTTAAAAAGCAAATCCTAATAAGGGTTTCAAATTGAGAAATAAAAAGTAAAAAAAATATATATATATATTTTATACAGCTGCTTCTATGCATCTATTACATCGATATTGTAATCTTGATATTGCACATTAATCAATCTTGATATAGCAAAATACAAAGTATGAGATTTGTAATAAATTTTTTAAAAATTTATTTATTGTTTTCACAGCTGCCAATACAACTCCTGTAACCTCTTCAGTAGTGTCTTTAGAAGAAGATGCAACAAGTAAATAACTATATATTTTAATTCTTATTTTACTGTTTTAAGTATGGTAATTTCATTCAATGTATTAAAACAAATTAAATATTCATATATAAAATTAACTAACCCCTCGTTTATTTATTATTGGTTCGAAACTATACATTTTTCTCGATTCCTTTTTTAAACTGTTTTAGTAAAGATAGTGATTTAAAAGGATTTAATATCATAAAAATACATTTTTATTTAAACTGTTTATTTAGGAATGTTATTTTGCGACTACATAACTAAACTGAGGATAGTTATAGTATTTATATATTTAGAACAAAACAAAAATTCCATAGAAATAGAAATTAAAATAAAAGTTTTCTAGAAAAATTAAAGTTATCTAAAGAATGATAAAAAAAGCGATGAACAAAAGTAATAAAATCTGATAAACAATAGGAATTTTATAATAAAAGTTAAATCTATATTTGACTTATGGAAAGTAATGTAACAGTCAACACCATTAATAAGCAACTTACCATAAATATTGTCAAAAATAGTATTAGAGCACTTTGCTATAAAGATTAAAAGAATACTGAAACATAGTATTTTACTAATTCTCCTGTAGCATTCTGATACATAACAATTGTTTATTTCTCACAAATCTTTCACAATTGGTAAATGCTTCCTAAAGTTTATTAAAATGGAAATTGATCCTAAGATTAAAGAATTGAGATTTTTTGCTGTATTATTACACAAAATGAGAATTAACAGAAAACCTTTTACTTAGTAACTAATAAATGTGTCCATTTCCTTCAAAAGAGATTTGATAAAATGATAAGAACTATTGCTTCATATAATAAAATTACTTTTGTTTATAATGTACACGCTGACCGATTTGTTTATAACGAGATAATTTAAACCTAGGCAATTTCCTCGTTAAAACAGGATGTTTGTTTCACACTAGTTGGCTGAACTTATCAATCATTTAGACTACAATTAACTCCTTGCCTACCGGGGAAAATTTCGAGGTTCATTTTCCCAGTTCCCTCTGTTTCCACAGAAGCGCGTGTATTTTTGGTGTGTATTGGAGAAAAAGAAGAGGCACTCTTCTCAATTTAATCACAACTCTTGTCTGAAAGTCTTTAAAATCACTCTTCTAATCATTCAAAATAGAATAAAAAGCTCTTCAATGCTGTGGGAGTAGCTTGACTGATAGTAGTGCAGGGCAAGCACTGCGCAAAGCGTACTTCGAAGAAGCGTATATATACCCCAGGCTCAGTTAACGCATCATCTTTGCGAAGCGTGTGTATACGCCAACGACTGTCGAGGCGTTAACAAAAATGGACTAATCCTTAAATACATGCATTGATTTTTACTGATAAATATATATACGTGTAAGAACATGTGTGCATTTATCAGTACTTTGACGTGTATTGAATATTTAAAACTTAGCAATTTATCTCAAATTTCATTTCTTTAAAGATGGTGATTTCTTTCCTATCACAGTCAGACTACAGACTTTTCAAACATTTTTTCAAAAACATGGAGACAGACATAGGGGCAACAGAAACAGCAAGTGGCAAAGAATGTATTCAATGGTTTACATTGTAGTAGTTTGTATTTTCTGATAGTTACTGCAATAACAACCCATAACACCTTATCAGCAGTTTCCGTTATAGCTCTCTGCTCTTGACTGGTTTGTTTGCTTTTCAAACATTTTGTCGAAAACATGGAAGCAGACATATTTCCAACAGAAACAGCAAGTCGCAGAAAAGTATTCAATGTTTTGCCTTGTTATAGTTTGTATTTTTTGATAGTTACTGCAATAACAACTCATAACACCTTATCAGCAGTTTCCGTTATAGCTCTTTGATTTGGACAGGTTCGCTTGCTTTTCAAACATTTTGTCAAAAAATGGAAGCAGACATATGGTCAACAGAAACAGCAAGTCGTAAAGAAAGTATTCAATGTTTTGCGTTATTATAGTTTGAATTTTTTGATAGTTACTGCAATAACAGCCCATAACACTTTATCAGCAGTTTCCGTTATAGTTCTCTGGTCTTCAATGGTTAGTTGGTTAATGTTAAAACAATTTACGATAAATCGCACAATGTTTTTTTTTTATCGTCCATCAACATACAAATTTTATGTAAATGGAACAACAAGGTTGTTTTAAAACAGTGTAGTAAAACAGTGGTTTAAAACAGTGATAAATCAATCATTCATTTAAATTTTTGCTCCTTAAATCTAGAATATTATCAAGTTAGGGCTTCCTATTTATGAGGTCAACTCCTCTTATTGAAATTAAAAAAAGAAATACCAGTTTAAATGTAATTTTTATTACCATTCTTTTAAAGCGAGTAATTTTGATATTACTGGGTAAAAATAAAAGTAAAAAATTATAAATGTAATATTTAAACTTCAGATAAATAACAATGTGCAAACTGTTCATTAAATACTTTTAAACTGCTTCAATTCCATTTCTAAGGTACCTTAATTTATAGTTGAAGTTAATAAAGTAAGACTAGATGCAACCATCGCATCTATATTGACAGCTACATATTCAGAAGCTTTTAGAGTTTAAATGGAAATGTTATAATATCTGATACACATCAAGTTCGATATTGTGAAACTGTTACCCTAAGGAATCTGACCATCAATTTCAAAGCGAACTAATGAACATTTGTCGCAACTCCTAAGGAGGAACTTGATAATAAATTTAATGGAACTAGGCGAGTGAAATGTAAACCAGTGACTGAAAATGTATTCGGTAATTGATGAAGCAATATTTAGCTGCCATTTTGTAACCTCTCAGAACTGTTCTAATAAATATCTCTAGAAGAGATATAGACATTATAAAATGCTTGCTGTGAAGTTTGTGCAAGATGCTTTTTCCCGTCATTCTATAACTGCAGTTTTAAAAATGTAATTAATTTAATGTAATTTAATTTTTCAGTACACTGTAAAAGATTTTCTCGATTTTGTCAAAATTGCCAAAAAGCTGTAAAACAAATAATAATCAAATTTGAAAACCTTATATACAAAGCGCTTTCATACATTTAATTTATTTAAAAGTTTTTAATAAAATGAGCAAAAATTAAAATTACCTATCTCCTGACGTATAGGTCCTATTGGGACCAATATTTCCCATATTCAAAACTTTTGCACTATTTTTGGAAATTAATATGCCAGTGTTTATCTTTGCGGTAACCACTATATATAGCTTTTATCCTCCCCTTGTACTTAGCTGAACTACTATGGTGGTTAGAGCATCTTACTACGATGGTCCTTGGTTCGGATCCAGCCGGCAATCAGCGAACATCTCTCTCGCACATATCTTACCCCCACGCCACTTTTGAGGCTATGTATTTTACTCAATAATGAGTATATGCTGTTTCAATTTTGAATACATGGGGTATTCATATTTGAATGTAAATTTTTGGATGTACTATTTTGATGTAATTTTGCTCATTTTTGAGGAAATGTTTTACACAGTGTGCAGTGACAGCTACTAATGAAGTCACTGGATTATAAAATCAACCTATTTTTAATCCTTTCACGATGGGAGTTGCAAATGCAAGCTTACTGCTGAGACGTGGGGCATTTTTCGCGAGCACCTGTCTAGGTTCGAAGTGTTTTTTGCTGTTAAGCCTAAATCCACGAAATTACCGAAATATGATCGCCTTCTTCAATAATGTACCCCCTGCAAAGTTGATAAACTTCAGATAATTTTCATTCACATGCAATATTTATTTAAATTTTATTCTTATTTCATTCCATTTTTAAACATTTTTTTAGGTGTTTATTCATCATTTGCAAGACACATTCACAAGACTTTTGACATTATCAACTATGATTTTTTTCGATGTTTAAAAATACTACAAAATATGCATGCTTGAGACATTATATTTTTAATAGCAAATAGCAAAGTAAAAGATTTTTTAATGTCGAATGTTTTAATTATTCCAATAATATGAATCAGACTTTACCGCGTACTCGTCGTAAAGCGTGCGATTTGAAAATATTTCTTTCCCCTTTGTGATTATATAATCAAAAACTACATGCATGTGAGTCTTATATGTTTAAAATTTCGAGTAGAAGGTCAAATCTACGTGTATCTCAAATCCTATTGGGATAAAATTGCATATTGAGCTTAAAATATGATTTTAAAACCTACCGGAACATTGTTAGAAATATGAGACGGCATGGAATGAACGAAAACGCACTAGGGCACACCGCTAAGTTGGCCGGGGTGTGAGAGCATTATATACGTGACAATCGGCATGAACGTGGCGTATACGTAACAGACTGTTGATACTGATACTGTTAGAAACTTCTCAGTAAAAATGGTGAAATAATTATTTATGTAATTGTTGTTTCACTATATTAACCAAAACAGTCAAATAACTATAAAAAATTTTAATATTCTAGTGAGATATTCAGTGAGAAAAATAGCTCATCGACTGTTTTTTTTAATACGGCTATACAACCATAATTCTAGCCTCACCAAAAAAGCTCACCTTATAAATAAATCAGTTCATTTCAGCGTAGTACTTACTGTTGCCGAAAGGCTACTAATCTGCTAATCTTTCAATCTCATGACCGTCTGAGCAGGGGTTCGTCACCAAGCGTTGACATCAAAATATTTATATCATTCTTTAAATACATAAAGCTTTTCCAGTGTACAACATTTTAAAATTGGTGACCCTTTTACTATTAGATTACGAAACCATCATTCCCACATAATTGGTGCCGCACCAAAAAAATGCAATGTCCGTTTGAATTTCATTTTTATGGTTTAGAAACTATATTAATTGCAAATGATTACAGCCATATAGTTTTCATGGTTTTTTAATGGTAAATGATTTCTAAACCATAGAGGCAAAAAATATTCCTAAGCATGAAATTTTGGTAAATTGGATGGACAGACTGTTGCAGGTTATTTTACCGTAATTTCAGAATGAAAATTATAACTGTGTGCTTTGATAAAACACGTTTAAAAAGCAATACGAATCTCATAGTGTTTAGAATTAGAATAATCATGAATGTAAATATTATCCAATTGATAAAGAGGTAGAAGATTCCTGTTTTAAATAGGGATCCTCTTTTAGCAAAAGGAGATCCAGAAATATGGAAGTTTTAAGGAATACCAAAATACTAAGGAATACCATCTTCAAAGTATACCAGAGTCTCTGAATCACCGTGAATGTCATTGTATATTTTGAAAACATTTCTAAATGCTTATAGATTAACTTATGGCTTTTCTTTCAAATTTCAGAGTGTGACCGCATGTTTGTAAGCAACTCAGATGGTTTGAAAAATGGCACATTCAGCGCTCCATACATATTAAACCAGCAAAATTACTCTCGACAGTGCATTTACACTTTCATTGCCACAGAAGACGAACGTGTTCAAATTACTTTCACCCATTTTGGACTGAGAGGAGCTAAACCACAGTAAATATTGGTTTATAACATTTTTTAATTGATATATAAGGTGATTATAAAATAAGTCTGCTTAGTTGTATTATTATTAGTGGTATATCAATACCTAATTAGGAGAATGATAGTACGCACAATAAAAATGAAATTTTATAATTCATTTAAATGTTTGCATTATGATTTTTTGGAGAAAAAAAATCATAAAGAAACTTTTCTAAATTTTAAAATCAAAATTTAAAACACCTAATCACAAATACTTGCATTAACCGGAACTTATGGAGAATTGAATTTGAACTCAATAATCACACTTTTGAATTCAAAGCAAATATATAAAATGATATAGGCAGCTTTCTTGCCTATTAAAGTTCTTAAACAATTTTTTTTCAAGATGAGAGATTTTCACTACAATCTTATTAAAATCACTTCAATGTTATACTATGATAACGGTGAATGGAAGCATAATATTGGTAGCCGGCAATATAGGTTATTTATTACCTACATATTATTTTTTGAAAAAACTGCTGAAATTAGTCTCTAAGAATTAACAGAAATCAGGGAAAGGAACTTAGACTGAAAGCAAATATTTATTTTGTCTGCTAAAAAAGGTGTCTCAAATCTATTTAATAGCCATTATTCAAAAGACTTTTATTTAATTTTGTTTTTATGTCATTTTATGTTGTGATTAATTAACCCCTATTCCCCAATTAAAATCATTAATAACAAATCTTTCGCTAAAACTTACTTCTTAACCTCTTCCTTCTTGCTCCCGTGAAAATGACGGGGTGGGGTTTCGCCCTCTATTTCTCGCTTCCGTGAAATTTCCGGGCTGGAGTGTTCAGTAGTAACGCACCAAAAAGAATATAACTAATTCATTTTTTTTTTTGCCTGGAAAACATTTTATTTCTCATTTTACACATCAGATGGCAGTACCAGGATATTTTCAAGGTAATTGTAGATAGTTAGTTTATTTCAAACTAGATGTCAGCACTAATAAAATAGCTCTAATAAGATAAATAGGCACTGTTATGACCGTTTTCTTGAAAATTAACCGCTCGTTAAGGGGTTAATTAAAAGAATTAACTTCAGTTTCATTGATGTAAAACACATGTTTTGATTTTTACAATCAATGAAAATTGAGTAGTTTTATTTATTGATCACGCATTTTAATTTGTGCACGTACAATCGGATATAACTGGGAAACTTGTCAGTTTCTTTTTAAATTCTATATTATATAATAAAAGAAACTTAGTGCATATTCTCTGATCGTCTCCGAAGAAGGGGTCGCAATTCCATTCGGGACGCCATTTTATCGATCTACCTGTCAAATCTCGAGAACTTTATTTTCCCTTTCAGAGATAAAAAAAGTATTAATCCCTACCATTTTAATGACATGGAATGTTTTCTTTCGTTTCCAAAAAAATTATGGTTGAATAAACTTCTTAGGTGCATAATTACTTCAGAACCCTTTTTCTCTTGCGTTTTTTTAAGGTACATCTAAGAGCAAGAGATAGTAACTGAATTAGCCTGTTGGGTAACTTCCCAATAATGCATTTGAATCCTTTATCGGTTTTAGCACAAAATCAGATATTTATATTTCTTGGAAATATTAATTACATTACATTGTTAAATCATTGTGAATTCATGATCATGTACTTAAGAATTTGAGACTTATTTCTTGCTTTCGTTTTAGGTGGCAATTTGTTTTCAATAATTGTCTGCTATATTTTTCGACTTTAATGGCTCACGACGCAATCCTGTTTCGCATATATTTTCTTTTAATTTTTAGTTTAGATATCTTAAAATCTAAATATTTTTAGCAAGCTATGTAGATTAAAATTAAAACAAAGAGCAGTTAACTACAGTGTAAAAAATTCTGGATCAAATTGGGGTAAAAAGTACCGGCAACCATGGTGCTGTTACATTTACTGTAAAATTCATTTTTATCGGAATTTGTTACAAAACAAAAAAAAAGAAAATCAGACATGCATTAACAATTACAATAACAATTATCGTGAGCCGCGATCGCTCAAGGGATAGAGCGTTCGCCTTCCACTGAGGTGAATCGGGTTCGAATCCCAGCGATGGCTGGTCAATACGAATTTCGCATCCGGCTTGCACCGACCACATTGCTGACGTGAAATATCTTCAATAGTAGATGAATCATGGGTTAGAGTCCCCTTGCGTCAGGCTAAACGTGGTAGGTTCTCCAGGTCGTCCTCTCCATATAATGCAAATGCGGGTTAGTTCTATTAAAAAGTAATCCACGATGGCGAATTTCTCCCAATACTTGATCCAGGAGTTCCATTGCTTTCTGGATTGGGTTCCAAATTACAAGGCTGCGTAGTTGAACAGTAGTAGTCTTAAATTCGAAAATCGGGGCTGCTGTTCAACGACGGTTTTAAAATAAAATTATAATTACCGTAACATTTATGATATAATATTTGTGAAATTTACTGCATTAAAATATATAAATATTGTAAAATTTACGGTATAATATTTTACATTAAAAATGTATTTAAGTATGATGCTTCAAAAGCTCTGGTGCTTTATACCGTTATTTGATTCGGAATTTTTCACAGTGTACGAATTATGAAATTAATACATTGAACATTATACCAATGATTAAAACATGTTAATTTTGTTTTCCATTTGCAAAACACATGTTTAAATGTTCCCTACCTATAGAAATTGAATAGTATCATTTATTGATCACGGGCCTTAATTTATTCAAACTCTTTCGGATGTAACTGGGAAACTTCTCAGTCTTTTTAAAATTCAGATTGCACTATAAAAGAAACTGAGCACGAATTCTTTGTTCGTCTACAAAGAAGGGGGTCGCAATTCCATTAGGGACGACGTTCTATCGATCTACCTGTCAAGTCTCAAGAACTTCATTTCCCCCTTCAGAAATAAAAAAAATTACTATTCCGTAACATTTTAACGACAAGAATTCTTTTTTTTTTTGTTTCCAGAAAATTTATTGACGAACAAACTTCTTAGGAGCATAATTACTTCAGAACACTTCTGCTCTTACGTTTTTTAGATTCCTGCAGGAACAAGAGATAGTAATTAAATTAGCCTGTTAGGTAACTTCCCAATATTGCAGTTGCTGAAGCATTTATTGGTTTTAATGGAAAATCTGATATGGTTATTCGCTGGAAGCAATTAATTAAATTGCATAATTAAATTATTGCGAATTTATGATCACGTAATTATGAATTTAAGCTAAGTTTTATTATTTACTTTATAAGGCAATTTTTTTTTTCAAAATGTGTGTTTGCAATAATTTTCATTCATTAAATCCTTACAATATAATGCTATTTTTCACAATTGTTATTCTAAAAATTAAATTAAACCAAGTTTGTTATATATATATATATATATATATATACAGTCAGACCTCAATATAAGGTCACCCCANCCTGGTTTGTACTTGGGTTCTGTTTTTACTGCTAAAGAATCAAAAGTGAGTTGATAATTTTTCCAATTATAATTTTTGCCATTGATTATTCATTTTAAATTAATTTTATTTAGACAATTTGTGTTTTATTCTTGTTTCTTCTGTAATAGTGCACACAGTTAAAGCATTAAATAATTGTTATTATTATGTATTAATGTTTAAATATATATATATATATATATACCACTTTTTATTGAAAAATAGGGAAATTAATTATCAATGTTTAGTTTTGTAACAGTTCATTCGATATTTGTTACATGGTAAGTCTTCGTTATAGTTTTGTTACAACTGCAATACGGTAAAATATTTGTTTTAATTGCTGTATATTAGTGGTTTTTATTAGTTCTTATATGTTATTGTTTTTTATTAGTTCTTGTATGTTATTGTTTTTTATTTGTCGTATATTATTGTTTTTATAAGATGTGTATTGTTATTTCCTTTTTTTGCTGCACTTTAAATTTATTATTTTGTTTCAAATGCTTTATTTAAAAGAATCAGAAATAAATCAGGTGGGCTTCTACTTAGTTTTGTAATTTTTTTTATGTTTTTCAATTAGTTATTGTTTAAACTGATAAGATTATTAAACGTTCAGATTTAATTGCATAACCCTATAAGCGATAATTGGATTTAAAGCGTAAATGGAAAACAAAGAATTTGACTAATTTTTACAAAAATTAGTACAAAATCGTCTTGAACAAGGGCAATTAGAAACCACGGAAGCAAACAATTACAAGGAGTGCCTTCGTCCTCTGTATTGCAGTAACTTTTAGAAAATAAAAAATTTATACACAGTTATCAAATGCAGTACTGATTATTGAGCCACGTGCCTCATGGGATAAAACGTTCGTCTTCCAATGCACATTTGCACATTTATCAAATGCAATACTGATTATTGAGTCACGTGTCTCAGGGGGATAAAACGTTCATCTTCCAATGAGGTGAACCGGGTAATTCCAGCAATGGCTGGTTAATACGAATTCTGCACCGACCACAGTGCTGACGTAAAATATCCTCAGCGTAGACGGATCGTGGGTAAGAGACCCCTTGCAGTTATGCAATTCCTGGGAAGTTATCGTACTTTTCCTTTACATGTAACGCTCCACGAAGTCAAATTTTTCCCAATATTGATCCAACAGTTCCCTTCTATTCTAGATTGGACTATGGAGTGGAACATTGGTTATTGTAAACCAAAAATTGGGTTCATTGTTCAATAACGGTTATAAAACAAAATATTGGTAATTAACCCTCCGTGGCTCAGGAGATGGAGTGTTCACCTCCCAATGAGGTCACTCAGGTTCAAATCCCAGCAATGATTAATTGGCATGAATTCTGCTCCCGGTTTGCACTCCTCACAAGACTAACGTAAAATATCCACAGTTGTTGACGGATCAGGGGTGAAAATCCCCTCGTCGATGGGCTAACCGTGAAAGGCTTTTGTGATTTTCGCCCCTGTGACGTTAATACTAGTTAGTTCAGTAAAAAAAATTGTTCAAGAGCTAGTTAGTCTCAATGCTTAATCGTGGAACTAATTGTCTTGTCTTCTGAATTGCGTTCAAAATTATAAGGCTACGAAATTGAATTAATAGTCGTAAACTCAGAATTATCTCCATTGCCCAAATCCGGTTATAAGAAATAAAATAAAATGCTACTAACTAGATATCAATTGGGTAATTGCTCATCCTTTATGCTGAATCAATTCTTAAAGGCTCCTTAACCCATTCCTTCTCGCTCCCGAGAAAATGACGGGGTGAGGTTTCGTCCTCTATTTCTCGCTCCCGTGATATTTCTGGCCTGGAGTGTTTAGTAGTAACGCGCCAATCAGAATAAAATTAATTCATTTCTTTTGTCTGGAAAAAAATTTATTTATCATTTTACTCACCAGATGGCGGTACCAGGATATTTTTTAAGGTAATTGTAGATAGTTAGTTTATTTTAAACTAGATGTCAGCACTAATCAACAAGCACTAATAAAAAAGATATGCACTTTTATGACCGTTTTCTTATGAATTAACCAATCGTTAAGGGGTTAAAACGATCTATCAAAAAATATATCTTAGTTGGTTACTTATTTTAGTTGTTACTTTAGTTAAACAACTCTTATTTTTTTTTATTAAAAAGGAAAAAAATGTAATTTGTTGTGTTCTAATTTAGGTGTAATCATGAATACATCGACTTATATATGGAAATTGAGGATCCCTCTGTGGAGCTTATACGTACACCCTTTGGAGGAAGGATATGCGGGAAAAACATCCCCGTATCTCGAATATCTATGTATGAAACGCTTGTTCTTGCCTTCTATACTGACAGGACGCGTGTGACACCAGATCTTTTCGGTGGCACTTACGAATTTATAGATGCAGGTAAGAATTGATATACATCGAATGAATTCAATGCAGGTTGTACAGTGGGGAAAAAAACGGACCACCCTGAATAACTTTCGATCTAATGATCGGATCTTCACATTCCAGGGCTCAATCTTAATGGTTAGATGGGGTGACCTCAGATATTTCTTTATTAAATTACTTAATAACAGTTGAAAAAATTTTAATGAGTTATATGATTTCTTACATCATTTTAAAATATGTAATTTTACATGGTAAAATATTAAATTTAAGATAAATCGGTTGCATAATTCCTGAGAAATCGAATTTTAAATATACGACTTTTTTTAAAAATTCAATTTCTCAGGAGCTATTTAACTGATTTCGCTCAAATTTTAATTGCATAATTTAAAGTAATGTAAAAAATTTTATAAATAATTGTATAAATAAAAACTATTTACTATACTTATTTTTTGCATGGAATTATCTTGGGATAAACGACGTTTATAATTGCAGGCAAAAGAATTTCAATTCGCTCACAATATTCTCGACATGTAGGGAAATACGCAAAAAGTTAAATTAGCATTAAGGGGTCGCATTGGGGGTCGTACCTTTGCACCGCTCTCTTGATCAAATTATGGGTACCGTATTTCCCAGATATCAGCTACTCCCTACATTTTCTACTGACTAGTCAGAAAACCAAATCCGTTGAAAAAAAGCTATGTTTATTCAGAAAAAAGTACACTTTTCTGTCTCATTTTGTAACTTAAAATATCCTCTGCACTAATTAATTAGTATATTTCAGGTCACCTTCTCGAACCATTATGATTGAGTCCTAGAACGTGAAGATTCAATCATTAGATTAAAAGTTATTCAGGGTTGTCTGTTTGTATTTTTTTGAGCACCGTACCTCTAATATATATTATACATGACACATATATGTTATAACGCTTCTTAACCTAGAAGTTTTATATTTCAAAACCTACAGAACTAGTCTGACAGGTTTGCTAACATGAAAAAAATTCTTTTGTCTTGAAAATTTATAAAAATGTTAAAAGACGATATGTTTAGATGGATCAAGTGCCTATTTTTAAGACTGAATGATAGCTGGGAATGCGAAAATCGAAACAGATTTGAACATGTGAACTAACGTTGCCAACATAAAATGAAAAACGAGTAATGCTGAGAAACTGATACATGTGCTTGAGTGGACCAAATATCTGCGTCGTAATATGCCAAGCATTTTATTTTTATGTATATTTTATGCATGTGTAATTTGAAAACTTAGTTTACAACGATATTTGTTTATCCTTTGGTTTGAGTGTGATCTCTGAGAGCCCAGATGCAAAATTTTCCAAACCATTTTTAAATATGGTAAACTATATTGGGTATTTAAACATTGTTATACAGTTTGCACAATGTGCTGTAAGCGATGGGTGCAATTTGTGAAATATGAATTTCTGCTCATATAAATATTATTGTTATTAAATTTAAGATTAATTCTTCATGATAGTGTAGATTCCAGTAAATTTGGTTAAGGCGTAAAGAAATTAATAGTTGAATTAAAAATCAGTAATTGAAAAATACCATAAGCGGGTCCAGTTTATCTTCTTCCAGTTTTCCAGTTTCCAAGGAATTTCCTAAATTATAACTCAGTTACTTTGCATTTTTTGTGGGGAAAAGTTCTAAAAGTGTATTTTTATTTTTTGATAAATTATAAAGAAAGATATAGATAAACGTATACTGTGCAATATACTATCTAATATACTGTGCGTATACTGTGAAGTTTATACTGGGCCCGTACCAAACCTTGAAGAACCGGTTCACACTATGTCAATGGGAGCTATAGCTTCCTTGCCCTATATATGTTCTTTGTTTATACGTTATAGCTTAAAATAACTTTTTCTTTTTTTAACAAAATGTTCTAAGACATTTTAAAGAACTCAATATTAGAACACTGAGAGTATACATCTTAGAAGAAAATAAAAATTGTGAAATGTTGTATACTAAACTCTATAACAGATTGCAATTTGAAATACAGAATAGCAATGTCAATTATACAATGGGAGTGACAATTATACTAACAATGTAAATTATACAATTTAAAAAAAAATTCTTTTCAAGTATTAAGAACTCATATTTATTTCAGCCCAGTATTTGATGGGTACCCCAACACCAAATACAGTATGCAGTTATAAAGTGTATAGCGATAGAAAAAGAGAAGGAGAGATGATGTCACCCACCTACCCTGGGGTCTACCCTAAAAATCTTCGTTGCAGCTATAATTTTTATGGAAAGAGAGGTCAAAGAGTGAGGCTTGAGTTTATGGATTTTGATTTGTTGTATGGAGGACCACAGTGAGTGATTGATTTTACTATAATTATACTACTTTTTTTGTAAGTTTTAATCTTTAAACTATTTTAGGGAAGGTAATTCTAGTTATAAAATTTTATTAGAATTTTTGTAAGTTTATTTAGTTTAATGTCTTGAAACTATGTGCACGATTGTTTATTTTAAAACATATTCTTTTTAAATGATTAAGGTAAGAAAACTTAGCTGAAGAACTTGTTAAGTACTATTTTGAAATTCTTAAATTTTTGAGACAGGAAACATGTTATGGTTGATTATACATATTGGATGCAAAATTATTAAATTTTATACATTATAATCCTATATTTTAAATTATTCTATCTGCAATAGTTTATTATAGGACATAGGTTTCATAAAAGTCTGGATAAGGAATGGCACTTTGTGACGAATTTAGCAGAAAAACATGTTAACAGTATTTTGAAATACTCATATTTCCAATATAAGTAAGGGTTGTATTACTCATATGTTACAAGCGGTTAAGTAAGGAATTATCCTCTGTGGCGCAACAGAATTTGAGGAAGAATATAACTCTATCATCAGTGGCGGGATAAAACCCTCACAGACAGATGGGCACTAACTAGTCTAAAAAAGTAATGGAGGCATGTGCGCAATTCTGACCGCATCATGTCGTTCGTCACGAAATTGTGGAGCCTTTACTGTCATGACCTTCTGGCACACGATGGGCTTCTGTAAAAATGCTTTGTAAACAATTGGTAGAATTATGTAGTAGTAATAGTAGTAGTTCATTTACGTCCCACTGGAGCTGCACTATGGGCTATTGGCGACGGTCTGGGAAGCATCCCTGAGGAGGATCCGAAGACATGCCATCACAATTTTGATCCTCTGCAGAGGGGATGGCACCCCCGCTTCAGTAGCCCGACGACCTGCACGCGAAATCGAGCACTTTACGGTAGAGCAGTTTAACGAGGACCAATACCGCACACCCTCGGTCCCTACGCAGACTGATCCAAGTGGACCCACCCGCACTCTGACCGCAGCCAGTGATGCTTGACTTCGGTGATCTGCTGGGAACCGCGTCTTAACGATCAGTCCACTGCGGGACAGTAGAATTATGCATGGTATACATTCATTACAAGCAAGTGTCTTTGATCGGCTATGATTGTAAAATTAGTCTGTAAAGTTATTTAAATTGGATAATTTTAACTGAAAAAAAGGGAAGTATGACCTGTAAATGATTATTCTGATAATTTTTTTCCACGTTCATTTCGATAAATTCTAAAACTTAATTATTTTTAAATGCCTAAAATTATCAATTAGTTCTTATGATATCAATTATTATTATGCCCTGTCTAACATCCGATGCTGACACTAGTTCAGACAATATTTCATGCTGCTGCTTCAAGTAAAATTGTTAGAAAGCAATCAGCTATTTGCTATTCAATAAGTCGCAAAACCTTATTTGAATCGTTGGGTTACTCAAATTTTGGTACATTTTATGATGCAGATCCTAAAGTCTAGTAAGTGTATTATTTTCTTTCTTTTTTATTTTGTTTGAATTGTGAAGCAATCTTTTCGAAAAAAGAAATAAACAGAATGTATATTAGTTTTAAATTAATATAGGAATGACCTGTACAAACTTGAAAGTGAGGATAACTTAACTCTTTTTTTCATCATTGAAAGTGACTCACTACATAAATAAGAACTTTATACATCAGTGGGGCACTTGGTAATGCCAGTCATCACATTGACTCCCCGAGATATTTTGTTTGACTTTCTAAAATAATATTTTTGTCAATTATGAAGCTGTTATACATGTACAAGGGTTTTTGGTCTACTTCTTTCTTTTCAAATCATTTTTAATTTACCACTCTTTATTTATTGTTAAGTTTGAAGATATTACTCATACTCAATACTAAAATCATCTAACGTCAAACTCAAAATACCCACTGGCCAAATTGCTTCGAACTTCACTAGCGAATTAATCACTATTAAAGAGTCTCTTGACCATTGTCGCTCCCATTCTCTAAAAGACCCAATAAAAGAAATTGTGATTTTCTCAGACTCAAAATCAGCACTCGAAGCTATACATAACGGTAAAATATCAATAACGCGAGAAATTGATACCCTTTTCCATTTACTAAATATGCGTTGCACTCTCCAGTGGATCCCAGCTCATGTTGGAATCGAGGGGAACGAATGCGCAGATGGCCTCTCCAAGGAAGCACGCGATCGACGAAGATCAACATCGAGCTGTCACCTGTGCAGATGCGAATGCTGTCGCCAGGCAAAGGATATACAACCAGCTTTTCAGCAAGGCAACAGTCCCCGATCTAAACTGCCCAAGAAACCTCTCCTCTACAATAGCTAGGCTATGTGCAAGACATTTCAAAGGCATGAAGATCTCACGCACCAATATGAAATCCTATCCCATCTGCAAGTACTGCCCCCATTTGCAGCTAACTCCAGACCATGTTTTTGACTGCCAGGCCATTATCGGCTCCCTCTTTCAACTTGGAGTGCGCATGGCCATCGGGCTCCAGAACTTGCAAATCCTGTTATCAAGACTTTTACAGGACTCTAATCTTTGCACTAGCACTGTATGCATAGACACGACAGCAACAACAACTAAAATATAAGCTTAAATATCTATGAAAATAGTTTATCTTATTTATGTCATTAGTTAAATAAAGGTAGGGTCTGCATTGGATTGAATGTAAAATTTGAGAAAGCAAGTAAACAAATATATACAATGTAATTTAAAGCAATGATCTTTCTTTGAGGAATAAACTTGAATAATTTTAGATCGTATCCTTAACTTTGAAGGGTCTTTGCATTTTATTAAACTTTCAACTTCTAAACAATCGAATTTTACTGAAAAGTATTTAATTAAAGTTTAATGAACGTTAAAATTACTTTATGCAATTAAAAACATTTCAATTGTCAACTATTTGAAATGTTTTGTTACAAATACTAAATAAATATAAAGAGATTAAATCTTTGACATAAGCCGGGATTTATAATTAGTTGTCGACCTATAAGCTTTAAAGTTGATTGGCAATTATAACTTAGACTGACTGAAAGAATTTCTATTCTGAGATACGTATTCTTTTAGTTTCGTACTAACAATTTTCTGCATTAAAGCTTTTTCTCCGTTCACATTGGCTGTGTCTAGTTGTACTTTCTTCTGTATATGTTTTTTTCTTCACTGTGTGTAAAAAAAATTTAAAAAAACCAGGGCACTCTGAATAGCTTTTGATATAATGATCGGATCTTTTCGTTTTAGGACTCCATTCTAGTGGCCCAATGGAGTTACCTCAAATATTCTAATTAATCAAAGCAGACGATATTTTTAATTACAAAATCAGATTCAAAAACGTACTTTCTCTGAATAAACAAACCTTTCTATCAACAGATTCCAGTTTCTGACTTATATTAAAATATAGGGGATAGCCACAATCTGGGGAATATGGTCCCAATATTTTTGTCAGGAGAGTGATCGAAATTTTGAATCCCTAATTAATGTTACTTTTGGAATTTTACTTTTTGCGTATTTCGACATATCTTACGAGCTTTTTGAAAATTTTCTGCACACAATTATAAAATTCGTTTGTCCAATGATAATTCTATGCAAAAAGTACTTTTTAAAAATATTTATAAAAAATATTTGCTGATTTTTTTCATTTATTAGATAGTCAAAAAGTAAGAAATACATTGATTTTCTACATCATTTTAGAGAGCGTAATTTGACATTTTAAAATACAAAATTTGAGAGAAATCGGTGGTACATTTCCTAAGAAATCGAATTCTAAAAATAAAATTTTTTGAGAACTGCCAGAGATCCGAATCCATCGAAAAAAAGACATGTTTTTTCAGAGATAGTACTTTTTTGTATCTGATTTCGTAACTTCAAATATCGTCTGCACTAATTATTTAGCATACTGAGTCCTGCAACTTGAAGATCCGATCATTAAACAAAAAGTCAGTCGTCTTTCATTTTCGCGTAACATATTGTAAACTATATATCGGAAATTGTTTTTAACATTTTTCAACTAAATTCATTTCAGCTGTATCCTTCAGCTCCAACAATTAAGATTTGCAATGTGTAACTTTTAATCTCTCTTTCAGTTGCCCGTTTGACTTTGTGAAGATCTACGATGGCGAATCTGAAGAATACCCACTCATAAACACATATTGTGGCCAACAAAGAAATTTAGTTGTTTTTTCATCTTCAGAAAATCTATTTGTTAAATTTGTTACTTTGCAAAGAAACGCAGACACATCTAATCGTGGTTTCAAAGCAGCTTTTGAGTTTAGTGAACGTTACGTTAGTTTAGGTAAGTTACAATGTTTCGCAAAGTATTCACGAAATTCCAGAATATTTTTGCGTCGACTGTCACGTATACGTGCCAGCATGAATCGCTCTCATGTCCTGGCCGACATATGCCTGAAAGCTTTCGCGCTTACTCCTGGTCGTCCCGCATTTGTGACATATTCTGGAACGTTTTAAAAACTGGAATTTTAGGCTTAAGATGGCATTGCCACTTTATAAGATTTGAGATACGCGTAGATTTAACCTTTTACTTGAATTTAGAAACATTAAACTTGCACGCACGTGGTTTTTAATTATACAAAACACGAAGGGAAATGAATGTTTCCGAATGGCCAGTTTTAGGATGACTCTTTAGAATGAGCACGTAATACTACTCTGACATAAATTATTAGAATATTTAATTTCAAAATCAAAGAGACAAATATGTATTGTGGGTGTAACAAATGTGTAGATTATTGCAGTAGTATTAAACATTGAACTAACCAAAGTCAATAATGTCAACAGTCACTAAATGGTAACTAAATACTAAAAAAAAATGTTTAAAAATGTAGTGAAACACGAAGAATTTCCAGTAAATAAACTATGTGAAAAAAATATATGCAGTATAGGCCGTTTATCTATCATACAGTAAATTGTTTCAGAACGCGTTAATATTTTTGTAATTTCGTGTATTTAGGTTTAAAAGCGGAAAATCCTCTGGCATCCGTGTAAGAGTCTCCACACCCTAGAAACGAAATTTACAGAGAAATTCACTTTATTTTTTGACAGTCTGAAAGCAATAACCGTAGGATGCATCACTATCGAAAGACGTTAGGGTATATTAATTTATTCTGACACCCTACCTTACTTTTATTATTTTACCTATCTTACTTTTATATAAAATTTATTTTTTCTTATTAGGTCTACATAAAATTTTTTAGTTTTTTTTTAAATTTTTTCTCATTATTATTTTTGGTTGGGTTTTGGTTAATTTCTGAAAACAGTCAATATTTTGTTTAAATAAAAAGTTTGCTTGCACACTTTTTGAATAATTAAGATCGTAACTTGTATACCCCAAAGGCAGAGATCATGCTGAATTAGAGTCAAATCTAGTTGACAAATGATACTACATTCTATTTGTCGATAAAATGCTGTTATAAATCCTGCTTTCATGACTCAAGATATCATTGAAACTTATATTGTCATTCAGCACTCAGCTTCAGTAAATGTTTAGTACTCTACATTTGATAAACTGCTACATTGTGATAGTATTCTCACTTGATACATTCTGATGGTATACTCTGTTAATAAAAGTAAGGTAAAATTTCTTCTTACTGCCCTCAGAAAATATTGAAAATTGTATTGTCATCTAGAATTGGAGATATGAGTGCTTTAGCTATTGATTGATGCTACATTCTAATTTTCGATAAAATATTAGTTTTATTTCTGCTTGTAGTGGTAAGAAAATGATTGAAACTTTCCTTGCACTGTTGTCCATCCCTGAGGTCCTGGGGAGATTTAAGTACTCTGGCATACTACTTTAATTTCTGTCGATAAAATGATAATAAAACTAAACTAAATTAAACTAATGTAACTAAACTAAACCACTTAAACTAATTATTGCTAAAGCTTGTATCATATATAAACAAATTTATAATTTCTTTTTGAAAATTTCAGTTACTTTTATTTTTCTCATTTGCAGATTTTATTAGCAAAACGGATGGAGAGCATATTAGAGGCACGCGTAAGTGTGTTTTCGAAAATCATATCATTTGTTTATATTGAATCAAAGATTAAATATCTAAAATAATATTTAAGTAAATAAGTTATAATACCAATATATAATAGTTTTAAAGTTATAATTATAGTTATTATTGTTTTAATCAGAATTGTTATTATTACTACCATTACTTATATTTTTTGTTATGGATACTATTATTATTATTACTGATATTATTGTTATTATTAATATATTTATAATAATACAATATTTTATTGTAATAGGAACAATAATTATATTTGTTTAAATTATTAATTAGTATGTATTTCTAAATTGAAAATGAAGATGTCTCATTATTATTAGATGTCATTAATAGATACAATTATTATTATTGTTATTATTAATATGTTTATATTAATAAAGTATTTTTATTGAAATAGGGACAATAATTATTTTTGCATAAATTATTAATAAGCATTTCTAAATTTAAATTAAGATGTCATTAATACAATTATTATTAATAGGTACCATTATTATTATTATTATTGTTATTATTATTATAGTTATTATTATTATTATTATTATTGTTATTATTATTATAGTTATTATTATTATTATTATTGTTATTAATATTATTGTTATTATTATTGTTATCATTGTTATTATTATTATTGCTATTATTATCATAATTATTATTATTATCATTATCATTATTATTATTATTTTTTTTAATATACCTGCACTTATATTAAAGTATTCTTATTGTAATAGGAAAACAATAATTATATTTGTTATATTTGTTTCCAATAATTATATAATTATTAATTAGTGCTTCTGAATTGAAAATTTAGATGCTTTTTTATTCCCATTACGTCAAATTCAACATCCTTTTCACGTTTGTCTTTTTTAGAATGTGATCAAAAAATCCTAAGTAAAGGAGGGTCAAATGGCTCAGTATTTTCACCAAATTATCCATATCCTTATCTTTCGAATGTTGTTTGTCGGTACTATGTTTACGGAATGCAAGATCCTCAAAGACTAGAGAGAGTCAAATTGAAATTTGAAAAATTTGAAATACCTGCGATTAATAATACGTAAGTATAGAAATAAGAATTAAATAAAGTGTTATGATATATTGTACAATAAACTTCAAACAACTATCGCTTATATGTTATTTATTTAAAATCTTAAAATTACAAAACTTTTCTTAACAAATCCGCAATATTAATTGAATTAGAATTTTTTTTTAAAGATATTTTACTTTTTATTTTATTTTCTTATATTTTTCTTTTTCAACAGAATTTCCACGAATTTTTAAAATTTTTTGGCAGGGACATGGCGAAAATAGACTCTCTCAAAGCAGTTATAAGATACTAAGATAACTATTAGATAAAATAATTATAAGATATAAGATAAGATCTGTAATAAAATTAATCTGAAATCAAAGAAAAACAATGATTGGGAGCTAGAATGACGAAAAGTGGAAAAGAGTTGTATAAAAAAAAAAACTAAAGGAGTAAAAGCCACTTGTTAAGAATTAGTATATGCTGCAATACTATCGTGCAATAATAGAAAAATCAACCTAAGAGAGAGAAAATACTCAAAATTGAGATAGTTACATATTTAACATTTATGTAAAATTATCTATTACAAAAAATATAAATAAATAAATATTTTTATCAGTTTTTTGAAATTCTATTGCAGCTTTAATGGTATTAGCAATAAAAAGAGAATAATTGTCAAGCCATTTTTCTCAAAAACTGTTGTAAAGCACGCTCGCTTTTTTTTTTATTGACCAGCAGTATAGTGAACTTAATTTTATGTAAAACTTAGGATGAGAATGTGTGAATATGAGGTATAATATTAAAATTTATTCTATATGCTGGACCCAGTATGAAGTAGAACAGAAAAATTGATTTTATATAAAACCACAAATGCCATAGAGCTACTATGAGCTAGAATAGTAAAACCGATTCGTATAGAAAACAAAAAAATGACAAAGAACTGCTGTGATACATCATGGTAAGAAATGATTAATTCAAAAGAATAATTATAAAGTCATAGAGGCGGAAATAAAGATAATGCTCTCAAAGAAAATGTAAATAGACTTGAAATAAAAATATCACAAATTTTCTTTAAACCTGCATATGCTTCAAACGCGTGGATGAGACCCTTATTTTATTATAAGAAAATATCTGTGACAATATTGAAAGAACCGTGGCATACTGTTGTCTAAATGTTTAGAATATAGTTGTTTTTTAAATTAAGTAAAACTTTTAGGATCCTATAGGTATTATGAAATTAAAAATAAACATATTATATTAACGCTTATATCAGATGGCCTGTATTTATATATTGCTACACAAGATCACTTATAAGGTATAGTTGCTTTGAAGTATAACAAAATGTCGGCTAAAGAACTCAATTTTTGTTAAAATTTACTGTAGTTAATTGTGGTAAAATTACCGTACTGTATGATAATGCCATTTATAGTATTAAAAAACATAATTATAGTAAAGAAAACCAAAATATAAGGTATTTAAACCATTCAGTTAAGAATTTTTCCATTCATTTGATAACGACTTACCGTAAATTTTGTTTTTCAAATTGATAGTTTTTATTCCCTCACATTTAGCAAACAATACAAATATGAAAAGTAAATTTAACCGAATATTTTATGTTATTGTCAATATTACCAACAGCATTATTAAAACTTTTTGGTAAAAATTAGCCAGCTTTTTGGTGTACCCATAGAGCAAGAAACATGGTAAATTTTTCCATATTTTGGTAGTTCTGACCATACTTCTTTTCCAAAGTCAAGTGACAAAAATAAAATTGTTCTTGCCAGCCTACGAAGTCAGGTATACCCTTAGGTAATGAGGGGGAATTACAAATTATTCTATATCTTAGTGCAGCCACTGTGAATAAGGATTATTTAAAAGGATTATGTATTTGCATGATCTTGTTTTCAGTGACTTTTCAACCACCTCCTTGTGGGTTTAGAGGAATGATTGAAAAAACCTTCTATAATTCTTAAAGCTTTTCTCAGATTTAAAAATTTATTATTTTGTGTTTATCATATTTCTTTTTTCTGTCATCGCCTCCTTATCCCATTATCTCCTCAGTCGAAAAAATCCACTTATCTTTCCATTTGTTAATTTCAGTTGCACGGATGGTTTTCTAAGAATCTACCTTCAAGGTCAAGAAGAGAGGTACGAGTTGGAAGCATTTGATCACAACTTATGCGGTGCAAATCCTCCACCGAGCTTAAAATCTGAGGGACCACGATTAGTCATGATTTTTAAAAGTGGAACAACCCAGGGACAGGGATTTAAAGCTCGGTACAAATTTGAAGCAGGTACATAAGAAATTTTTTTAATTATGTCGAATGTTTAGTGTTTCTCAATTGTACTTGTTCTTTTTCTATGACTTTTCATTCGACTTTAGAAGTTAATGTACATGGTTTAAGAAGGTAGGTAGGTACCATATATATAAAGACATATCCCTATATTAGTCCCTGTATGAGCCCCTATATTAGTCCTTGGTAGGTACTTTATTTACAACGCAGTAGAGCTGCGCAATGGGATATCGGTGACGGTCAGGAATTTTGAATAGCATGCTCTTAGTCGCACGAAAGTGGTGAGGGGTTGAATATAGGAAAATTAAACACTTACAAATTAATTGTATTCAAAACTAATTATTTAATGTTTTGACAGCTTGCAAGTAGCAATTATTAAACTAATTAAACTATAAAGTTTTAATCAATGATAGTGCTAGTTAAGTTTACTTCAATTTGTCAGTTAATTTTTAGCACATGAAACGTTTTTGCACCTATTGTACCAATTATTGTTTGCACCCAGACATTTTTTGGAGAAGTTTATCCTTACGTTTTGAGACATTTTAAAGAAGATGACGACGTATTTGATTCCAGTGAAATTTTCTAAGCTTTATCATTTTATCTTTTTTTTCACATCAGTATAAAGCGTGTAATGTAAACTGTAAACTAAAATAAATTTTTAAAAAATACAAATTTCTTATATTTCAATACAAATAAGTTTAGGTTTCTGTTTAAAAAATATGTTTATGTGTTTAGCACTCTGATGTTTGATTGGACTGAATATAATATTTAATGCCGGAGTCAAAAACAAAAAAATGAAAATAATCTATGTGTTACGCATTTCTTAGCTCGTTTTTTTTCTAAAGGTTTAAAGAACATTATCAATCATTCGTATATTCACAAATGCTGACTAACTAAGAACAAAACCTAAATATATGAAATGTCCGGTAAATGTCAGGAGTTAATCTACAGCACTATCTTCCTTAATCTAAATACCCCAAATCAGTCAGAAAGTTGCTTATTATTGTGAAATTCTGCTTATTCCTACAGATATGTAGCAAAATATGCAAAATTATTTAAAATTTACATTTTAAATAATAACATATTTAATTATAATATACATTACAATATATTACGCATGAAAACTATACGTCGCCTAAATTTAATATAAATAAGAAAATACTAAAAAAAATTGAATTTTTTAAGGTATAATTCTAAACCCAACAAACAGAGATAAAAATTGAGGCATTTTTTCAACCCAGTGAATTCTTTTCTTTTTTCTCTTTAATAAATGAAAATTAATCTCAGATACTGTGACAATACGTAGTGCCCCCGGCCGTGCTATATGGTTTCTGCTACCGGGCTTACAACTTTGATAATTATAACTTCTTTATAATTATTTATAAAGAAAAGGGGCTAAACTCGTTTTTTTTAAGATTCTAAAAACAAATGGAAAAGTTCTTCGTTATTTTTACTTCCAGTACAGTTCAAAACATTTATATTCTGATTTTATCCGCCTTTTTGAGTTAGTTGATTTTGCATTTATTACGATTATTTTGTTCTAAATTCATGTGTTCGATCAAAAGTAGATATTCACGTTGAGATTAAAGTTTCTACAGTGATCATTTTAACAGAGAAATGGATATTTGAATTTAAAAAATGTCAGAAGTACGCTTCGTTAAATATATCCGTATTTAATATAGCAAATAGCAGACATTTCTCGAAGTCTTACCAATGAGAACATTTTAGTAAATTCATCTCATATCAGTTTACTTCCGGATGAATGAATATTTTAATAATCGGAGTAGAGAATGTGTTGTTTAAACTGGCTCTAAACTTTGATAGAAATGAAAAAAAAATTATTTTGATAATCGTCATTTCAAAATATAATCAACTTTAATTCAATAAATCAACCAATGCAATTTAACCAATTCAATTTGAACTAACTTTAATGCAATGAAACCTAAAATACTGTTTGCCAGATTTTATTAATAAGATTTACCTGATCTTGCAATAGCAAGTTACACAATGTCGAAATATTTTAAACATATCAGTCAAGATGACAGCTGTTTTTTTTTATTTAGTAGATAAAGAACTTGTAAAATTAAAAGTTTGTTTTTATAGATTTTCAGCCTCTGGCTCTTAGTATATTGAATTCTTAGAATTTCATCGAAGTCATATTCTTCACAATATTCCTCATTTCAAAATATAATCAACTCTAATTAAGTAAATCAATAAATGCAATTTAACCAATTAAATTTAAACGAGCTTTAATTCAATAAAACCTAAAATACAGTTTACCATATTTTATTAATAAGATTTACATGATCTTACAATATCAAGTTACACAATGTCGAATTATTTTAAACATATCTGTCAAGATGACAGCTGCTTTTTGATTTTTTAGATAAAGAACTTGTAAAATTAAAAATTTGTTTTTATAGATTTTCAGCCTTAGTATATTGAATTTTTAGAATTTAATCAACGTAATATTTTTCACAATAAATACGTCTTAAAAAAACTTTTACTGTGTATGCATCCGCATTATCAATTGTCAATAATTTATTTTAATTGAAAAATAGATTACCAAGTGCCTGGAACTGCATCTCCGAATGGGACGTGCCAGTTCTATTATCGTAGTGAAAGCCAAAAGGATGGCGATTTCAACTCTCCTCATTATCCGGCTAATTATCCATCTCTAGTGCATTGCGAATATTATTTTCTTGGACTCGAAGGAGAGCAAGTTAACTTAGTTTTTAATTATTTCAAGACAAAAATGGACATCGAAGCTTACGGTTATAAGTAAGTTAAGTCCCATTTATCTGGTTGACGTACTATCTAAGTTATATGTTATACAAACATTCTATTCATGCACAACATTGAAGGTTTTCACTATAGATGTACGTAAAGCATTTGAAATTTAAATAACTTGTTTAAAAAAACTATTTTGTAGTATGTGCCATTACAAACGTGAAATTAAAGAAAAGATTTAAATTATTATCAGCACTGTAGTTCATCAAACTATATAAAAATGATTGTTTTTCACAATAAGTGCGCCTTTGAGCAGTGATGGCTGCGGGGATAAAACGTTCACAGTGCTGACATGAAATATCCTCAGTGGTAGAACGATCATGGGCTAGAGTCCCCTTGCCGTCAGGCTAACCGTGGGAGGTTATCGTGATCTTCCTCTCCATGTAACGAAAATGCGGGTAAGCTCCATCAAAAAGTCCTCCACGAAGGCAAATTTCTTCCAATACTCGATCCAGAAGTTCTGTTGTCTTCTGGACTGGGCTCAAAATTACAGGGCTACGGAGTTGAAAATTAGCAGTCGTAAACCCAAAAAAATGGGTCGGTTGTTCAACGACGGTTATAAAATAAAATAGGTATGCCTGCTGTAACAATAATTGTATAATGTAGTTTTATTACCATAAACGATTACTTAAAGTTAAGATGATAATACAAGAATTCAGTCTTGAATGGCTAAAAACGGCAAACTTAATAAATTCTTCAGATATTGTCTAGTTTTCTTCACAATTTTACTATTTCTATTAAGTTGGGTAGTTTAACGTTTTTTAAAGCTATTATTTAACAAAATGATAACATTGAACAAACCTACTCTAAAAGTAGGGTATATTACTAAGTTAACCAAAAACTAGGCACTCAATAAAAAAAAATTACTGAATTGCAATAAAAATGTAATTAAATACAACTAATGGTGATAAAAATTAAATAAGGAAAAATTTAATTCCATGAGTGACAAAAGCACCGCAATTTATTTATTTAAGTTTCAGCATACACTTTAAGAAATGGCATTACATGCGAATGCTGTTGAAAGATATAAAAATTAATAAATAATGTTTTTCCTTCTTCTTTTCTTTTTGAAAATTTAACTACTGTGTGAAAAAAATAACTTTGATTTAAAATTATCTATCAATGTTTTAATATTATCATTATTACCCAAAGTGAAATTTGCCAAGAAGATTGGATCGAAATATATGAAATCTATCCCAGCGGCAGAGAACGAAAACTAGGACGTTATTGCGGTAGGACAGCTCCTGGTCCTATAATGTCCGAATTAGGTGTGGACACCATGAAGGTCATCTTACATACCGATGAAAAGAACGTGGCATCGGGATTCACGGCCACCTACGAATTTTTCGCGGCGGACACGCGATACGTCGGTAAGAATTTTTTTATGTATTTTTTATATATTTTATACATATTTTATATATATTTTTTATATATTTTATATGTATTTTATATATATTTTATATACATTTTATATATTTTATATTTTATACATTTTATATATTTTATATATTTTATATATTTTACATATTTTCTGATATATTTTTAGTGCTATCAATAAATCTACTACAAATATATCAGTAACACTTTAATAGCTAATCATAATGAATTTAAGTACAGATTCAACATACGAGTATTTACTGAATAGTTGAATTTGTGCGTTTAAGTCTAAAAATTTATTTCTCTGACGGAAAAATAATTTATTTATATTTTAAGTGTGAAATTATTTCATTTGCTTCAAATAATTGCTATTTCAAAACGAAAATTTTACTCATGTTGAGATGCATTAATTAACACGCTATAATTCATAATGGATTAATTCATTTTATCACTACGTATTAGAGAAAGTATTTATTTAGCAGAAAAAATATTTATAAATGACGCATTTATTTTTTTTTATCACGATACACTAGTCTGTAAATATTAAATTTTCTAAATTTATTTTTCAAATAAAAAAGCTGTTAAATATATTAAATTAAATCATGATATTTTTATCGACATTAAAAATCTAGTGAAAAGATTTTCTAAATCACATGAATTCATTAATAATCTCCAATTCTCTCAATTGCGATTATTTCATGAGATTATGTAATCTATTTATACTTCATATTGCTTTGTATTAATATTAATATACATATGTATTTATAATATATGTATATTTATATTTTTACATTAATACTTATTGTTTATTGTTAGGTATTAAATACTTATATTATCTCTTCTGAATAATAAAATAATTGTGTTTAAGTGACTCGTATAATTATATTTCGAATATCTTTAGAACGTATAATTTGCAAGCAAAATCTGCTCTCTTTGTTTTCATAAAGTAAACTAGATGTATGATTTATTTGTGTATATAATTTTATTATGTAAAATAAATATTTTTAAAGCATAAAAAGTCAATATAAATAACTGGAATTCCAATGTATTCACTCATTATGCAACTCGCTCTGTTAGAGTTTTTTTGTTTGAATATTTTATACGTCTAGACTGGATTCTTACTCTTTTTACATGTTTTGTGCACATAAACTATTCTTTATTGTTTTGAAATCCCATATAATCAATGTTAGAATTATAATTCAAGAAACAGAGGAAAAGCATATCATAGATATAATATTTTTTGTTAGTTTCTATTATAATGATGTGATTTTTACGCAATTATAATTTTCAATCCAAATAAATTTTTTAAGTTGTAAGTTGATCACCACTTTGAGCTGAACTGAATATTCAGATACCAAGTTAGCAATAAAAATTAAATTGCTTTTTCATTAGTTGGTCAGCTGTTTAACCAGACCATGAAACTGTTGCTCTCTAAGTTGACAATTCTTACAAGGAAATTCCAATATGTTAAAAACCATAAACCGCCTTGAACTATTCATAAAATATTTTGATTTCTCTAATTTTATATGAATATATGTTTTGTATGTATATTTTTGTGTGCATATTGTATGTGTATTATTTCTATTAGATTGCGGTCGTAATATATCCGATCTTCACGAGGGAGTCCTGATGAGTCCTGGTTATCCTGGTTCTTATCTGCCGAGTCTTCAAGTATGCAATTGGTTCATAACCGTCCGAACACACCATAGAATCCTTCTTTCATTTGTTTCTTTTCTCATTGAAGGAGATCCCGAACGTAAGTGATTCATTAAGTGATTTATTTTTTTCGAAACACCCATAATACTTATTCTAAGAGAAGAGCAGATTCTTTTCAAATGCTGCGTTAAGTATGAAAAGTTTCATAAACGTCAGAACTCCGAAAAAAGAATCTTTCTCTCACTTGTTTCTTTGCTTATTGAAGGTCGAGTAGAATACTGATTCGTTGATTCGCATCATCGACTGGAATGATTGAGTGATTCGAATAACCAAATTGCAACTGATTCGAATCAATAAAGATTAAGAACAGGATTCGAATCAATTGATTCAAATCAATGATTCGAATCAGTGGTTTGAATCAAAATTCGTAATTCGAATACTGATTTGAATCAGTGATTCGAATAATCAAGGTGAACCGATTCCATTGATTCGAATCTCTTTGATGATTCGTTTTGCCCAACTCTAATTGAAAGAAATTCCTCGTAACCAATAATCTCGCAGCCTCGCCTACTTTTTATTTATTTATTTAGTACTTCTTTAAAATTAAGAACAGATTCTTATCAGCCGAGTCTTCAATTATGCAATAGTTTCATATACTTCAGAGTGCAAAAAAAAAAAAAATCTTGTTAACTTATTTTTTATTTTATTGAAAAAGATCGGTATTTAAGTGATTCAAGTATGAATGACTTGTAGTTTATTTCTCCTTATAACACAGGTTATTTATTACATGTATAGTTGTGCATAACGCATGTTGTTATAACACATGTTGTTTTCACACTAGTTTATTCATAGCACAGATTGTTAGTTATTTATCTTATAATCAGATTTTGTCCATTTATTTATATTCTCATTGGCCTAGTCTTCAAATTAGCAATCGGTTCGGAACTATCCAAATACTCCATATAATCCTTCTTTCAATATTTTTTTCCTCACTGAAATATATTTCGAACGTAAGTGATTTATTTCATAAACGCATATTGTTTTATTTTTTTGATTTTTTTTAGAGAAATACCAAATTGCTAACAGCCGAGTCCTCAAATATACGATAGGCTTATAAATGTGAGAGCTTAAAAAAAAAAAAAAAAAAAAAAAAAAAAAAAAAAATTTAATTTCTTTTTTTATTGAAGGAGTTCACGAAAGAAAGACAATCATGTGGAAATGCATGTGAATGCTATTTATTTATTTTGGGAAATACTTCAACACCTAAATGCAGCACTATAGCATAATTATTTACCTTTAAGAATAATCCATTTTTTGGAGAGAAAAATGAAAGCATTTCTAAAGAGATTTGCATTGGCTAGATAAATCTAAATTACGAAATGTCTGATCATTCATTGATGCTGTTGGCGTAAGATAAATTTTTATTTTTAAGAATGTGATGATTTTTATGTTTTAAAATAAAATGTGTATAAAGAAAAAGAAAACATCATATTGGATTATCCTGAAAGTTCGTGATAGCAGTTTTAAATGTATCAGAGTGATAGAAAACAATTGACGGCGTACATATTTCTGAAATTCAGAATTCACAAAAATAATAGTATTGAATAGTAGCCGGTGTTTTTTTCTTTTCTGAGCCACTGCTTTTAGTAGCACTGTTATTGTTCAATTTTTAGAATAATAAAAAGAGAAGATAAAGAAACACAATTTTCTTGTAGTCAGTTATCTTTTATTTGAAAATTTAAACGAAAGGTAACACTTTGTTGATGGCAATTTTATTCAGAAACTCTGTCAGACGAGTTAACTCGTAACCGGATGAATCAATTGAATGAATCGCAATTGAATGAATCAAAGATAAACAAAATACATTCAGAGTACGTCCAGAAATAGCGAATAGAAAAGTAAGGGCAACTCATTAAAAGTTGCTAAATCTTATTTGAAATGTTCTATCTCATTTACCAGATGTATAACTCTTTCGCGTGCATAGATCCATCTGTGCTCTCTATTCCGCTTTATAAAAGTTCTTTAGTCGAAATACAACTTGTTTGCTGAAATTCTTTTGAGAAACTGGAGGTTTGGAAGTTAAAAGAGTCTTAAACAAGAGAGTTTGTAAAACAGAATATTACGACTAAATTGTATAAATGGGAACAAATTTTAAATCTGTCTCGTTTCAATTTATTTTTACAAACGTCATGGAATTTCAGGATATCTCAATAAAATGGAGCATTAAAAAGAAATAATATTTTATTTATTAAGAATAAAAGTTACCAGAAAATGATTTTGCAACATCTTAATGTTGTCGGGTATTTAGTGATATAATCAAAATAGTTTTAAAGTTGATAAAAATGAATTAATAGCAGTTTCGCTACTTAAATTAACATTATCGAAATGTGATATGAAAGCATTTTATCTTCGTGAGCATTTGAAAGAGAATCCTAGAAGAGAGAAAGATATCCTGGAAGAAGAGATATCCTAGAAGAGAAGGTCTCTGCACAAATCGCCATGAAGGAGAAATTCGATCCTTTAGTAGTCCGAACGCTGTGAAATTTTTCGTATTTTTCCCCACTGCTCAGTTTAGTAGTCCGAACGTAGAGGCATCTATCTTTATTTTCCTACTTTGTGCACTTTATGTTTGTTACGTCGGACTATTAAATTGATCCGTGGGGGAACCTTCTCTCTTCTAGGAGGTGTTGGTTTAGCCCATAATGTTAAATAATCTGCTCTATGTCCTTCTAATTAAACCGATTTCTCGACATATTTATTTGGAATATTGCACATATGGATGAAACTCTCATGCACATTGAAATGTTTCAAACGACTCTTTCTTAACCTCCTGCACTAATTTCCAGAGTCTTGACTCGAGAAGAAAATTTTAGGCCTGACTTGAATATCATGAGTCATGCTCGTTGTTTAATTTCATATCAAACGTGAATATCACGAATCTATATCGTAATCGACATTTCATGCCAAACATGAATATCACGAGCCGTACTCGTGGTTTTAATCTCGGGCTAAACAAGACGTCGGAATTTGCTTGTATATTTTCTTTATATGAATAGGTATTTTCTATCTTGTCTCTTAATCTCTAATCCTCTGTCTGTCTCTCTTGTCTTAGACTCTTATCGCGAACATTCGGGTGCATACGTTAGGCACGGCTTGTTCCGAATTTCAGCTTAGTGCAAGAGTTTAAGCGATTTAAATTGCTTATGTGCAATTATTTTTCTTTCATATTTTCATTATATTTATTCATATTTATTATTACTTAAACTTACATTTTAAAAAAAAGAAATCTCTATACATTTTTATCAATTTAGGTCGCGGATGTCCCGGTGCTGTTATAAGAATATATCCTGAACTTGGTGAACCCCCAATGGAACTTTGTGGAGAATCCCTTGCAAATCACACAAGAGAAATTCTATCATCCTCCAACATTATGAAAATATCGTTAGTATCTTATTCAACACATAAAATATTCACATTCATACAATACTGCATCGTTTCGTGGAATATATAAAACTGTTTTTATTCATAACATTATAAATGATGTTTTACGTTTTCAAGCCTTCATACTTTATGATCGTATTATAGTTTTCGTTATGTGTGTATCGATTTCTGCTACTTTATTCTATAAATTCTATTTTATGAATATTTTAACAATCAATTTTATTACCGATTTAGAAATTTGATAGGAAATCAAGTTCACTTTTTAAAGGGAACAGTGGCTGTTTAAGTTTTTATTTTTTATTGTATATCCTTTTTTTTTTAGAATCCTACTTTTTAGTACCCGCTATACATACGAAATGTATCCATATGCTAAGTTTTATAAAAAAAAAAGGTTTAAATTCAGCGAGTTATTAATTAATACACTTGTTTTATGACACACGGTTAATAATTTCCTTGCAAAATACTTTTTTACAGTAATTTATTTATTTTTTATTTCCTGTTAAAAATGTAATGAAGAGAAAATGCAAAATGGAAAGATTTCTAAATTTAATATTTGAAAAACAATTATTTTTAAACATTTTGTGTTATTTTCTTTCAAAAATAAAATTGGAATTTTTCCTACTTTTGAATTTACATTTTTACGAGCATTTAAATTAAGATTTATTCGAAATAATTTTATAGCCGAATGTTTTTCTTTAAAGTATTTCCCGTGTGTTATTTTTTAATTGGGTGCAAGTAAACGTTTATTTTTATATTTTTTTAAAAACCAGACACAATTTTTTTAAAAACTGTCGCGTCCATTTATATGCATAGCTGGCAAACAATAAATTAAGTAAATGTCAAACAAAATAAAATAAAAAAAGAGTATTTTAAATCCCACTGTCTTACTTTCTGCAATCAAAGAAAGTTGAAATAAACATCAAACTGAAATAAATAACAATTTGTTTTCTGGGCGAAAATGACATTATGTTGTATCTAAAAAAATTTATCTACCATTATTTTGAATCAAAATATTTGCTGAAAGAAAAATTATTTTGAGAGTAAAAAAAATATTTGCTGTCATGTTAATATTATTCATTGCTTTCATATTGTTGTCAATGTAATCTTATAGATTTGTTTTTTTGTTAAAGGAACATAATATGGATGATAATTGAGGAAAAAAATAATAAAAGTTATTATACTTAATTTTTAAAGGATTATTTTAAATTATGCATATAAAGAAAGTAATACAAATGTTCAAATAATCAAGTTTATAAATTCGGTGATCGCTTCGGTAGTATACAGATGGATCCTTGTTACGATGGACAATGTTAAGATACATGATGGACGGTGATGATGGAACCATGACGGACGATGTTAAGGCGAAAAATTAATCGATGTAATTCCTTTGTTTTCTGCATTGACACTAACGAAAGTACAACTGCAAAGTACCGAAACTTTCCTAAATGTGTGAACTTTTAAATTTGAAATTGTTATTTTTTTACGTTGTCTTACTTTAAAAAAAAATTTAAATAAGAAATAAAATCTTTTATGTACAACAACAAGTATCTTTTATCTAGTGTTATAGTTTACATATAATAATTAACGTCTTGTTTAAAGAGTTTGAATTTTAAACATTTCTTTTTTTTTTAATTGCCAATGGCAAGGCAAAAGGTACAAATAGAAAGATGAAATAAATAACGAATACAAATGTAAGTAGGATAACAAAGAAAGAAGACTGAAGTCATTGCCTGAAAAGTTCTCTTGCTTCCTAATATCTTGAGGACTCAGTGTGTCCATGAAGGGCCCCACATAGAAGCAGGTGGTCCCTGCCCAATTCAAAACATTTACAAAGTGGACAAAAAGGCGTGGTGAAAGGCCTATGCGGTATAAGTGAGCAAAAAGACAATCGTGGCCTGTATATAGGCGGAAGGCCCTGCAACTGCATCACGTCTTGGTTCGTCGGGAATTAAAGAAGAGCTCACATTTCTTCAACTTCTCAAAGCTGTGTGAGTTTGAAGGTCTTGCAATGAGTTGGTTTTACGTAAATTTTTAAGAATTTTAAATATAAGTTCTTTTTTTTTTTTGAAATTATGTATTGTTTAGATTTTTTTTGAGTAAAGGACAGATAATGTTTCTGAGGTATAACAGTAAAATATTCACATTAAACAGTGAAATATTTCTGTTCCAGATTTGTAACTGCAGATAAAGCAGTGGGAGCAAAGGGATTCCAGGCAACGTGGACTGAGGTTAAAGAAGGTATGAGTTTTTCCATTTGACAATTCAAATAATGTTATTTTTTTGAAAACAAATAAATAAATAAATCAAACATACGATTGTAAGGTAGGTAGGTAGGCACTTTAATTTACATAGCATTAGAGCTGCACTATGGGCTGGCCATGGTCTGAGAGACATAGCTATGGATGATTTGAAGATACACCATCGCAAACTTGATCCTCTGCAGAAAGGAATGCTCCCCTGATTTGGCAGCTCGGTGGCCTAAGCGCGAAATCGAGCACTTTACTGTAGAACAGTTTAACGAAGACCAATATAGCGTACACTTTGTCCCTACCCGGACTCAAAGTGGTCACCTACCTGCTTACTGATGGCAGCCAGTGATGCTTGATTTCGGTGTTCTATTGGGAACCGTGTGTTTAAGATCAGTCCACTACGAGACCATATATATATATATATATATATATATCCTTGATAACTAACAAANTATATATATATATAAAACTGTAAACAAGGAGTGAACACTCGAAAAGGTGCACTATAGTAGAAAAATAATAGGAAGAAAGAAAAATGAAGTGAAAAAGTCATTAAAATACCATGAAATGGAATAAATAAATAAATACATTTCCGAATGTTTCGTAAATAAGGAATGTTATAAAAATAGAACTTTTTTAGATTATGAAATGCTTCTTAGAAACAGAGGTCAAGAAACGAACTTTGCAAATACTTCAACAGTGCGGTGCGGTTTAAGCTGCAACATTATTATTATGAACTTTATTTAACATTTATGAAATTTATTTTTAAGCATCGTTCTGGGTTTAAATAAAAAGATAAAAACATAAGGTTACGTATCAGTGACGCTTTTGAAAATGTCCTTATCTCTTTAAAAAATACATACATGAGCATACTTCATATGAAATATTTCAGCTTAATTTAAAAAATACTTAAAATAAATCTATATCAAACTTTATAATAATCTTAGAAAACTGAGGAAATTAAAAATAAAAAAACAGTTTAATAGAAATAAAGCAAATTAATAAACCTAGCATTTTCCAGTGTTGTCTTTTAATTTATTCCTTGGATTAAATCTGAAATTGAATAAATTGTGTGAAATCCTGATACTTTTTTCCCCCACAATAACTGACATATGAAACGAAACTAAGAATATCCTTAACACCCAGGAGACTACACATTTATATTGCAGTAGCGCATTCCATTTGTAAAAATAGTCAAATGAATTGGCAAGAATAGGGAAACGGGATTTTGGCTTGGATTCAAAACAGCTTTTTATTAATTAGCTACAATATACCCTGTACACTGTGAAGCATATAGTATTCATTTTTTCATTATATGGGGAAAGTAGGTCATCGGAACGGAATTATTAGGGCAAGTTAATTGAAAATTATTCCAAATACGTATCGATGCATATTATTAAAATTCTCGTTCAAAAGAAAATAGCCAAAAATGAAGAAAAAAATCAGATATTTAAGAGCCAAAAAAACAAGCTTAATTGACTCTCTAATAAACATTGTCACTTTATATTTTCGTATTTGCGTTGTAGTTTTAGTGACTGTTTAAAATATTCATTAAATATATTACATATTATACCTGGAATTTCTGACATGTATTATTCACTTATGCGTTAAGTGTTGAATAAAATACTTTTGTAAAATATTATTCTTTTTTATTAAAAATGGCAATGTTCATCGTAATGTAAGACGGAAAATAATATGTTTTATTTTATTCAAAAGGCATTATTTTTTGCTGTACGCAAAAATATAAACGGACCACCATGAATAACTTTTGAACCAATGATCGGATATTCGCATTCCAGGACTCTGTATTAACTGTTCGAGGAGATTAACATCAAGCATGCTAAGTAATTAGTGCAGACAATATTCTAAGTAACGAAATCAGGCACAAAAATTTTCTTTCTCTGATTAACATAGTTTTTTTCCCCGGATAATTTGGATTTCGGACCCTCAAAATGTAATAGGTAACCACAATCTGGGAATAATGGTTCTAATTGTTTGGGCAGGAGTGGGATCCAAAGTTGGGACCTCTTAAAGTTAATATAAAAATAATATAATAATATAATGTAAATTTGCGTATTTCGCCTAATCCCATGAACTTTTAATCGAATTTAAAAAAATTTGAACGCAAATATAAAAATTGTTTATCCAAAGATAATTTTATTCAAAAAATTATTTTTAGTAAATATTTATTATTTTTCTTAAATTTTATCTAGTGGAAAAAAATTTAATTCTAAGGCTTTTTACATAATTTTCAAGGATGCAATTTTACACGTCAAAATACCTTACTTGAGTTAAATCTGTGGAACAGTTCATAAGAAATGTAATTTTATGTATGCTACTTTTTTTTAAAAAAAAATTCAGTTTCTCAGGAACGATTTGACCGATTTCCCAGGAATTTTGTATTTTGTCATAAAAAGCTGCATTTTTTAAAATTATGTAAAAAATTTAAACCTTACATTTCAAATATTGTTCGGCAAACATTGGATAAAGTAATAAAATATAATAAATAAGTAGTAAAAGTTACTTTTTGCATGAGATTATACTTGATTGAACGAATTTCATATTTAAATGCAAATGTTTTTTTCAATTTGCTTAAAAAATACTCTAGATATGGTGAAATAAGCTAAAAAAATTAACATTAAAGGGTCCAAACTTTTGAAGCGCCCTCCTAGCTGAACTAATGAGGCGTTATTTCTCAGATTGCGGCTATCCCCTATATTTTGAGGCCTAGAATTCCAAATCAGTTGAAGAATGCATAGCTTTTGTTCAGGGAAATCACGTTTTGTATCTGATTTAGTAACTTAAAATATCTAGTCTAACTAATCAGCATAATTGAGGTCAACTTGAGGTTCTTAAAGCATTATGATTGAGTCTTAGAGCATGAAGATCCAGTCATCAAATCAAAAGTTATTCGAGATTGTCAGTTTTTTTTCTCACCGTACATACTGAGTATCACAAGTTGTTGCAAGTTAAAAAATAATAATGCTTGAATATGTTTCGAACATTTGCGAGTGAGAAAATTCACTCGAAAAGTTGGTCCAGTGCGATATTATTTGTTTGGACCATAATACTATTCAAACCTGTTGCAAACATCTAGTGTTAAACTAATTTTTTTTTACTTTCAGGTTGAACTATAGTTTCGTTTAATCAAAATAAATCAATATGATAAAAATTGTGTAAAATACTTTATTTTTTAGGCTCTAAATGTGATCAATTCCAATGTAGCCTGAGTAGATATTGCATTTCAGAAAGTGCCAAATGCAATGGACTTCCCAACTGCGGCCTCGACGACACATCCGACGAGGAAGAATGTAAGAAATGTTTTAAATAGTCAATATTCCATTACTATTCAATCATATTTAAAGTAAAGTAAAGAAAAATTCAATTTGGATAATTTTTCTTTTTAGCTTTTTGTTTTACATTTTTTAACACAAAGCAAAGCGACCATCAGCTCTTCCTCTACTATAAAAGCAAAGTTGAATTTACTTGACTAGACGAAAAATACCCAATGTTAGTAAACAATTGTAGAAACTCAATTATTTTTCTTTGTAACTGAAATTAAAATCTGGTATAGAGTTAAAAATTGATTTCCGCAATATTGTGAGATGGTTGTGATAGATATTGAAATTTCTTATTAGAATTATATCTTTTTATTGTTATATCTTCTTATTGTTATACCTTCCAATTGCTATATCTTCTTATTGTTATATCTCCTTGTTGCTATATCTTCTTGTTATTATATCTTCTTAATATTATATCTGTACTTCATCGTATCATTGGTATTCTTCATTAGGCCAGTGAAAAGATAATTCGATTGAATCGACAATCTTCAAGTTATGGAATTCGCACTATTTATCTACCTACAAGCATCCATGCTTATGGTCGAAGGTTGAACTATGGTCTAGGTCTATAGCCTTCTTATATAAACTGCCACGTTTGCTCTAAATTTATGGAAGGCTCTACGCTGGCAAGAATTGCTCTGTTCAGAATGACAGTGTGGTTCCAGTGTCATGAGAGTTTTGCAAGGGTAACCTATATTACTTTCAGGAGAACAATGCTTGCTGCTTAGTGATGAGGCACGTTGTTGTGATCCGTAAGGTGATAGTGAAGTTTACTAAATCAACATCCTTGTTCAGTACCCTGTCCTGAACAGTATAAAAGTTCTCTGAAACAAGATGGATAAACGAATTAAGGGGTGATGCAACTGTTCAATATTGGGAGTAAGAAGAAGTTATATATCTTTTCCAAGACAAGCTGGAAAAAATTTCCCTAACCATCATGCAATGACTTGTTTAAGCCATGGCCTGGAAAGTTTAAATAGTAATTTCTTCTAATGGGAGCTCTACCAGTAAATGTTGTACAGTACTCTAAAGCTTATTTGCACATATTATTCGCCTGGACGTTGCTATAAGACTCCTTGTCCCAAACATTAAAGTCACCACAGATTTTGAAAATAGCATTTAGATCTATCTCATACTCCAAGTAGTCGAGTAAACTAATAATCACATTACAATGTCACTTCTTATGGTTTTGGTGTTGAGACCAACGATTCCAGACTAATGAGGCCTTTCATTCCTAATAATTACCATCTAACATTAACGACAGATATGTTTTTGGAAAGAATGTCTTATAACTAAATTCAAATTATATCAAATACCTGGAAATTTTTGGAAACCATAAGGGGATTAATTAAAACTTCTTGCTCAAATTTCTTTAGAAAAAAACTTTTTTGTACTTCATTCGTTTTTGATTTCAGGTAGATTGTAAGACAAGTTAATTTTAATTACCATATTGCTACAATTTTGTTTATACATGACTTTTTTTCTATACAGGTCTTACAATACATGGTTTAGACATTCACCTCGTCGTGGGGTTTTCGTTTGGAGGCGCCATCATAGCTGTAATCACTATGTGTGCCATATTCCACCGAAAGTGCAAGCGACGGCGGACACCTTCGGCGAGTCAGCACCTTAGAAATCAGCCAAAAATGGCCACTACTCCGCACATTGCAATACAGGACCACGTGTAAGACAGCCATTAATTACGACGCCATCTTAATTACTTTCCCTGGCATGTCACGGGGAATCCTTATGGGCAGCTATTAGGAAGATGAGCTCTTTTCAGTGTCAAGTATTTTCACCAATTCCGATAAGCACTACATAGATTTTTAAATAATCTCCATTAGAACACAATGCATTTGGAAACACATTTCATTGTATCTTGCACTAAATATTAAACCATATTTTATTTTATTATGCTTTTTGATGATAAAGATGTAAGAAATTAGTATTTGAATTACGTCGGATATAAGTATTAATCAGTGAATGTACTTCAGTATTATAAGATCCACGACAGGAAACGTGAGCGATTTAAGTTCATAAATCGTTTTAACGAGTGCGGTTTCTAAACCGGCAAAAAAATCATTTTTAATTAAAGACATTTTTGAACCTTCTGTTGTCAAAATTAAAACAAAAATGCAAAAATTTTTACTCTTTAATTTTAAATTTCGATTGAAATGATTATATTTTATTTGAGAATTAACACATTTTATTGCTTTCAATCGTATACAAGTAATAAATATAATAAAAAGATTTCTTCTTAGCTTTAATCTAGTAATTTTCGATTCTTGATTATATTAGAGTGTGAAAATTACAGCAGTAAAAAGTACGAGCCTACTCGAATCATCCGAAGTGTGCGCAGTTTGGAGAAAGTTTGGTGAAAAGCCTGTTTAGTGCACTCTAATTAACTCGACGCATAAGTTAAAAGATTTATTAATTTTTATATTGACATATAAATGTAATATTAATTGTGATAAATGCATGTTATCTTTCTTCCTTAATTATATTTTATTAAAATATAAAAAATAGGAAGCAGCCAATAAAATATGTAATTTCAATGATAATACTGAAAAAAGAATATATTAATCGATGAAAATATATTATTGTAATTCAACAAAAAAAATGTTTATAAAACAGTCTGAAGCAAATAGCAATATTGCTTTGTTAAATTTAGTAGAATAATACAATCTATTTTTTTTTTCTAATTTTTATTATTGAATGTTTAGCTAAAGACCTTAATCCCAGCTGGAAAAGGCTAAAATACCCAGAGAATCAAATGACGAGACACAATAAAAAATATGTTCATTAGATATGAACTCTTTTTTATAAAATTACATTTCACGGAAAAAACTATTATTAATGATCCAATTATCAAACGAAGGAAAAAAATGTTTTTTATAATTACTTCTAACTAAAAAAATTCTCTAATTCTTTGAATAAAAAAAACTTTAATAATTATCATCATCATCAATCAAAGTTATTTTTTTGTAGATAAAGGTTTAGCCTTCAAGTGATACTGACCATTAATTAATGTTTGCGTGTAAACATAAATAAAGTTATTCTTAGTAACAAGTTTTATGGTATATATTATTACATGAAATATAAGAAGTACATAACTTTTGTATTATGTTATAAGTTTCTTCGAAAATTTGAAGCTTGATTTTTAAAGAAACGTTTCAAAATATTTATACTTATATTGTAATTATAAAAAATATGAATTTCTATAGCATTTATATAAATATGTACAAGCAAGTTTTTCCAAATTAATTCCGCTAAATGAAACTAAAGTCAGTTACTTGATGAATAACATCGGAACATTTGTAACAAAATTTTATCATTTAGTATAACACAAGTAATGATAATCAGCTATTATTATATTATGCTATTATATTAAATTGTTGCTTAATTGTAAAAGTGTTGTTATATAACTTAAATTTGAGCTTGCTTTTTAGAAAAAAATAAATATCATAATCATATTTGATTCCAGAACTGATTTGAATATCAAAAATCAACGGAATTTCAATGAAAAGAGCTCATTTTCTGTATAAGTAAATATGTAAGAAATATAAAATCTTTTTATCACTTTCTAATTATGCGCAGTTTAAAAGTTGCGGTTAATGCTTCCATGAACCATTCCTCGTACCAGAAAAAATGAATTAAGATAAAATTGCATTTTAAAATGTTCACAATTTCCTAATTCACCAGTTACGATATGGTTTGTCCTCCATAACGCGCAGCCTTTCCGAAGACATTTACTTCGCTGTAGGATGTGATACCCACACACGAACGTTCGAAAAACGTTTAATTGCTTGTCCCAATATGGCAGCAGGATTTAAAGTTTATACCTTTTTTAATTTCATTACACACTTTAAAGCAACTTTCATTGTAATAATCATGTTCCACTTAGAAATGAGTTAGTTATAAGGAAAAATTATTCGAAAGAAATATATTGAAAGTAATAAAAATATATGATCTAATGTAATGGTTTCAAGTTTAATCAGCTATTTGGTAAATATACGAGAATATGTATTTATGATATGAGTAGTTATAAAACATGTGGTCTTTATTTACAAATTATTCATCTGTTTTAAGCATTCTCGATTTTAACCATTTTTTACTCAAGCGTTGTTTTTAAGTAAGTTGTAAAAAATTTGGTGTATAGTTGCCAACAGTTTTAGTGTTTAGGTATACTAGAAGCTTTTACATAGCATGCAGTCATTTTTTTCCTTTTCACTGTTATATTTTCATTTATTTTTTGTTTGTCTACAGCAACACATGTTCAAATGCACATTCGAATAAATTCATGACTTTTTTGCAAAAACATTTTGATTAAAAGCAAAGTTTAAGTGCTATATTTGCAGTAATACTTTCAAACAGTTTTTATTTTGTCAATTTTACGTAATATTTTGTAAGATAACTTCAGTTTTGTATTTAAAAAGGCATTACCTAAACACCAAGAATTGTAGCAACTATATACCAAGATTTTTTTAAAGTGTAACACAACTTTCTGACGTTTCTGTAATTCTCTTTCTGATTTATGAAGGATTTTCTTTTTTCAAATATAAAATGACAACATTGTTTTTTCAATCAACTGTTTCAATTGTTTTTCTTATAAATAAACATTTATTTTTTGTTCTTTTTATCGGTAAAATCAAACAGTAAAATTTTTTAATTTATATTTTTGTGACTTTGTAGCTTTTTTTTTCTACAAAAAATAGAGAAACACAGCTTGGTAAAAAAAAAAAAGAAATTAGTTTGTTTATAAGAAAATGGAATAGTGTGAAAATTTAAAAAAGGAAGTAAAAAAGAAACAGTCTATAAAAACAAATTAAAACAAAAAAAAACTTTTCATTTTAAAATAAATCAGCCAAAAACGGAGAAAAAACGTAATATGCTCATTATTTAACGAAATTTCTGATCTAAGTGAAATTTAGTTTGTTTATGCCAAAGTTAGCTACAAAAATTATTATTCCTACTTACAAATTAATTCAAATGAAAATGATTTAAAATAGAAATATATGTTATTACAACAATTAACCATTTGCTCCCAGATTATTAATATGGTATGTCTCGATTTTTTTTCTAAATTTATTCGAAAATTTAAATTTTTCTGAAATTTCATTTGAGGTTTACAATTTCATTCAGTTTATTTAAATCCTGCGTGGCTTTTGGGGAATCCTATATTCATTAAAAAAAGGCGTAAATAGAAAGGGTAGTTTGTAATGGAGCCTTATTTGTGCTGATTTCTTGAAACATTTGGAATATTTTGGTGTGATATTTAGGAGTTGCTACTTGGAAGATACACATTAATGCTTTTCCTATTACCAAGTTAAACACTGCATTTCCTGTACCAAAATAATTTTTTAAAGGCTGACAAGTAATAGTATTGACTTTTTCTAGTTTATTTTTTAAATATTAATAATAGAAAAAATTAATGTCAACGGAAATTTTTGAAGCACTTAAAAAAAAATCTGCTTTTTTGAAAAGTACTTTTATTTTATTTCAATAATTCTTATAAGTTTGAAATCGATTTACTCAGATAAATTCTTATTAGAGTAGGTAACGATCATTTTGATGAATATTTAGTGTATTATATTACCAGCACAATAACACTCTTTCATACAATTATTTTAAAATTGCAGTTCTTACTTTAAAACCGTTTTAATACAATTGAATCTAAGGATTTATTTACCAATGGTTTTCAGTTTTGCAGAAGTTCGAAAATCGATTAAGCTATATATTTGATATTATTTCTAAATTCTATTTCAGTATTGATTAATATACAAACAATCAACTTCTTTTATACAATTTTCTTGAATATTTTTGAAGTAGCTAAATTATATATTTATGGTTATTATCATTGTCATATTGAACTACGGATTTTTTCTAGAACAGAAATATTGAAGGATACTATTTTGTTTATCTCAAAAGTTTAAATAAAAAAATATTTAGTGTAACTTTTAAAATAAATCTGAATACTTTTCCAATAGTTATAATCACAAAATGTTCAAATCAGGTATTGAATATAAAATATATTGCATTTAACTACAATTAATAATTTTCAATAGTTATTAAACTGAATCATATTATGTGTTATTAGTGTATTATTTAACACTCACATATGTGGTCGAAAAAATGTGTTTTTTTAACGAATTATGAAATTGAAATATTGAAATATCCATACAAAATCACATAATAAATATAAAGTTTACTGCATCTATCTACACTATCAACACAATATAATGCAGTTAACTTTGTGGATTATTTTGCTGAATAATGTTTTTTGCAGAATAAGAGAATCAATGAGCACTTAGAAATGCGACTGCAAATATCCAAGATCAACACACATAACACAAATAAAGAGAAAATTGACAAACGAAATTTTGGACAAAATTGAAAATCTATGTTCACTAATAATTTGTTAAAATATTTCAAGATCAAGAAAACAAATTTGAAAATTCGTATTCATGAATAATCTCTTAAAAACTTTATCAATCCTTGCACATACAAAAAAAGGAGTTAAAACTTTGGTGCATTAATTAAAAATAACTATCAATTATTATTAAAGTAGTTAAAGACAACCAGTCTTACGCCAGAAATAACTTCAAAAAGTCAATTCTATTCTGTCAGTCTAGATAAATTAATACCCATTTTTTACACCTTTTTGTTTGTTGGATAAAGTAACAAATCCTGACCATACATTTCATAAATATGCTCCCTCATTTACTTAGAAATGTGGTGTTGTTTCTTAAAAATGAAGTCAACGAACTTTTTGCCTAAAACTCATAGCATATTGGAATTAAATAATTATGTTATTCATAAGAGTATTTATTAAATGCTGAATGAGATTTGATTGTGAAAGTGTGCTTCCTCTGAAATACTGCTTTATAGAATGACAGAAAAAGATTGACCTT